TCATACCCTCAGGCAACATTTACAATCATTACTTACCTCAATCCGGTCCAAATTCTAGCTCGCGAAGCCCTTGCCTCTTGAGTCGGCCTCCGAATGCTCCAAATCTAACCAAAACAAATTCATACCATCAAAAATATGCTAAGGGAACACGTCCCACTCAAAAATAACCAATTTACACCAAATATCCCGAAATTGGCCAAACCTGACCCCCGGGCCCACGTCTCGGAATCAGACAAAATTAACATCAATGGAATCCTTATCTTCTCACGAGTTCATACATACCAAATTTACCTAAACCCAACCACAAATGACCCCTCAAATCCCAAATTTTAGGTCTCCAATTTCAAGCCCTAGTTTTCTTCAATTTCAACCACTAATTTCCATAAATTACAAGCCTAATCCGTGAAATAACACCATAGAAATGAGTTTTATGTTCAAAAATCTTACCTCAACTAAGCCTTCTTGAATTCCCTCTTCGAATTGGATCTCCCAAGCTCTATCCCGTATGAAAAGTGATGAAAAATAGCTCAAAATCATGAAGGCCTTAATTTATATGATCTGCCCCAGCAAAACCGCATTTGCGGTCAAAATTCTCGCACCTGCGGACACCACTTAACAGCCCATGGACCGCACATGCGATTAGTAATCCGCACCTGCGCTATCGCAGGTGCGCACAAATACCCGCATCTGCGGTTTTAGCCCCACATGCCCAATTCCGCATCTGCGACCCTGGTGGCGCTTTTGCGGGCCCGCACATGCGGTCCCCAAGCCGCAGGTGCGGTTATGACAGACTTCGGCAACTTTAGCTGCCAATTCTCAACTTCAAACCTCCCGTCAATCATCCAAAATCACCCTGAGGCCCCCGGGACCTCAACCAAAAGTACGGACAAGTCATATACCACCATCCAAACTTATACCAATTTTCGAACACCTAAAACCACATCAGAACATCAAGTTAACCACGGATTCAAGCCTAAGAACTCCAAAAACTTCCGAATTCCGCTTTTGATCAAAAAGTCTATCAAACCTCGCCCGAATGACCTGAAATTTTGCACACACATCACATATGACACAACGGACCTATTGCAACTTCCGAAATTCCATTCTGACCCCGATATCAAAATTTCCACTATCGATCGGAAACGCCAAATTCCAAATTTTGCCAATTCAAGCCTAAATCTACCACGGACCTCCAAAATATATTCCGAACACGCTCCTAAGTCCAAAATCACCCGACGGAGCTAACCAAATCATAAAAATCCAAATCCAAGATCGAACATTAAAAAGTCAAGACGGAGTCAAACCTTTCAAATTAAAGCTTCATGCTGAGAATCATCCTTCCATATCTATTCCGAATAACCTGAAAACCAAAACCAACGATTTACATAAGTCGTAATACATCATACGGGGCTAGTCATGCCCGAGAACTGGCGAGCGAAGTGCAAATACTCAAAATGACCGGTCGGGTCGTTACACTCATATATTTCTAATTTTTTGAGCATGTACCATTAGCCATGTTTGGCTCAAAACCTCCACTTCTTCAAAAAAGTTCTCTTAATGGAACTCGCTCACTTTAGTCATTCGTACTCCTTGGCCTTCTACACTCATTTTTTTATAGCTTTTTGGAGTTCATAATGTTGCTCTAATACTTGCCTCACTATATCTGTTATGTGAGCATCACGTTCCGTAGCTTTCAACATTGTTGTTTCCCTCAAACTCACAAACCTTATTAGAAAAATCATAATAAGGACTCAGGACGAATAAAATGGCCTCCTTGACCACCATATACATTATAAATATTGCACTCATAGGGATGAGATTGTGCGCATAACTTGCTCTTAGGAATATTTTGATAATTTTTTTACCAGTGGAATCCTCCACAATATGGATAAGGATCATCATAATAAAAATAAACATCATCCGAATAATTTTCATTTCAAGATGCCATGTTCAGCTAAACTACAAAATACTAACTAAACAAAAATTTAAAAAGAAATCTTTGAGTAGATAAAAAGTAAACGTCTAACCTAGACAAATAGCTAATTCTAAGTCTCTGGCAATAGCGCCAAAAATTTGTTGGGGCCAAATGCACATGCAAGTATACGTGATCGACAAGTAATCAAGTGATAAGTAGAATATCGTTCTCAAGAGAACTTATTATCAACTATTGACTAAATTAGAGTATTCTAATTATTTAAATAAGAATTAAACTTACAAGTTTGACTTTAAACTAATTAAAATAAAGAAAAAATAAATAGTGAACTCTGAACAAAGGAAGAACTAATTTTTATGTTATCGATATGATAAAAACAATCTTGGGTTATAGGCTATCTAACAATCCTATTGTATTCTTCACAAATGACTAATTAATTTATCCGATTTATTGGTTGGCAAGGTTAATATTGCTCAGAAGAATCTATTGAGTTCGTACTCGCCTATATAATCTGACCTAACTCCTATATGTCTATGGAGTTAAAATCAACAAGAATTTATAATTCTTGTATAATAACCAAGCAAGACAATTCGGTATATGTCTATCCTAACCGCGAATTTGTTTCCCGATGCCCAAGTTCAAGAACTTGTTCCACTCGATGTTATGTACAATCTAGAATTTTCACTTTCGAGTTTAATTCCAGATCTGTAGATAGTATTCAATTGGTTATCGAACAATCAAATAATCTAAATTGAATAAATAAAGCAACACGATAAATCAAAAAATTAAAATCAATATTCGTATAACAATAGTCATGAAAGAACCAAAATCCTAGAATGTGAAGTTAGCTCCACGTAAACATAGTAGTCAAACAACAAATCATACAAAGAAACATAAAAACTAAGTTTGGCGGGAAAAAAAATGAAACTCAATAAACTCTAGCCTCCATGACGGCTCCTCGCTCTTCCTCGGTCAAAAGTAATATAAAAATCGTGTTTAATATCTATTTATAGGTATAAAAAGAACTAGACGAAGCAACCTAGTCCAAACCCAAACCAAAAAGGAGATGGAATTGCCTTGGAACCAGATGCTGGTGCATAGCAGTGCCTATCGCGATGGCCAATCTCAGCCTCGCGGTCTAAGAGGCACTGTGAAATGGCAGCCTCGCGGTGCTGATCTTCTTTGCCTCAATTCGTTTGATAATTCAATTGTCCCTGCCTAACTCTATTCAGGGTAGTGGTGGGCTGCCAAACTCTTCTTTTCAATTGATACTTCATTTGTAATAAACATCCATGCATGCCCACGTAATTCTTTTTGTATTCGATTTTATCTTCATGTAATTTGGGATCTGTCAATCAAATTACATTCTTTGCCTGTCATGTGTCTTTAACTGCACGTCCATAATCATTAGCCAATCATTTAAAAATACACTTCAAAATGTCTATTTTGTTCCATAATTCCATCTTTAAAGTACCTGCATTATCGATTAACACTCAAATGAGTGTAAAATACATATCGAATTAAGTTGGGCATATCTAGTAGTATAAAATACAATAAAAAAAATAAAAAAAATACGAGTAAGGTAATATGAAAACATATACAAATATATCCAACATCAATATTAAAAGAAAATGAACAAACGAAAAGCAAAGAAAGACTCACCTGGACGTCGTTGAATGCTTGCATGTAGGACCTAATTGGAATTGGAAGACCATCATCATTAGTTAGAACACATGGACACTTTCTTCCTTTACGTAACCGGTACTTCTATCCAAAAATTTAAAGGGAAAGGTTCTAAATTGTCTATGAGTTGAGGACTGTAGCACACTGTTTACCCTACAAATCGAGTAACAATTAAACTTGTAATGTGGTTTTAAGGATACGTGAGTTCACTTAATACCAATTGATTAATTTAGAGATAATTGATGAAATTGACAAGAATATAAAACAAACCAATACTTGCTCAATGTCCTCGAGCTAGTGAACCCTCGAGAATGGTAAAGTAAGAACAATTAAAGATATAACAAGTTGATGAACAATAGAGAAATATTATATTGCCTTGATCTGTATGAATGTAAGGTATTTACAAATGATGGAGACCCCTCTTTATATACTAGAGGAATCCTAATTGTGGTATAATTCTAATTATGGAAGTAAATTCCATGATTGATACAAATAACCGCTCTTGATCTGATCCGTTCCGAGATTTCCGCCGTGATCTCTGGCCGGTCACGGATATTTCGCCTTCCCGTTATTGCGTTCCGCCCGAAGCCGATCACATCTGATCTTGATCATCGGGGACCTCGATCCGGATGGGTACCTCGATCTCCGAACTCGGTACCTTGTCTTCGTGCTCAGACCTGATCTATTACGAAGCTGACCCTCGATGCAGTTCTCTGATCTCGAAATAATGGCACCGTATACACACACGATTGTTTTTCGATTATATTTTCCCAACAAATAGAGACTCACTGTTAGAAAAATAGACCAATTTTGTCTTTCAAAAGCAGTCCTTGTTGTCGTTCGGTTCCAGCTCAATAAAGTAAGCATGACAACTGCCCACAAGAATTTTCATGTGTTGAGTTAAAATTAAAATATATTTAAAGATATAAATGAGTATTTTATGTTTGATCCAATAATTAAAGCCTTAGGGGAGTCGTCGGTGGAGGTTAGTTAAGTTAACCGCATAAAAGAAAAAAAATCAGAGATAAAAAAAAAAGAACCGTTAGGATAAATGTGGAGCGAGAAGGAAGGAACCGAAATTAGAAATTAGAAATTAGAAAACATTGGGAAAAGAAAAAGAGAGAGAGAGAGAATCGCTTGGTATAGAAGCCATTGAAGCTCAAGGGCCTCTCTTCTTTTTTTCTTCTTCTTCTTCTTCTTCTTCATTTGTATGTATAGAAAGAGAAACATTTAGAGAGAGAGAGAGGCTTCTTGGCTTTTTGGTTAGCTGTATTGATAATCAAAAAGGCAGGCCATATGTCAGATTCAAGCAGCGATTCCGTTTCCGTCGATGTTGAGACCATTTATCTTGGCGGAAAGGTTCCATTTTTCCCTTTTTCTTCATTTAGATAAAAATTTGCCTTATTTGTTGGAAGATTTCAATATTTAACGAGAGACGCTTGAAATTATCCTTCTCCGCCCGCAATTTTCATTTCATTGTGGTCAGAATGCTTAACCTTGATTTTTCTTGTTTAAGCTCTGTCATTCATTTCCTTCAAGACCCAAAAACGCAGTAGTTCTTAATTCTCTCTCTACCCCCCCCCCCCCTTTTTTTTTTTTCTGGGAGGGGCAGTGTTTGGGGGTTAAGAGAAATTTAGTCCTGAATTTATCTATTTTTTCTGTCATATACTCTGGTCTTTAGTGGAAAAAATTGGATCTTGAATTGTACTTTATTCTCATTTGTTGTCTTGAATTTGTTTAACTCATCCAACACTTGCGAAATGGCATCTCAATTCGGATTGTTAAGCCAATATGGAGTAGTAGGGGTAAACATTCGTCATCCTCTCTAGGAGGTATAATAGGTGAATGACATTATTTTTGGTATTCTATTGAGTAAGGCGTTGCATTTGAGGCTGGACTAATTTCCACGAGAGAGAGGAAGCAAAGCAGTCTCTAGAAACAACAGGTTGGGAAAGCACTTCTTCCACTTTTGGAGTGACACAGAAAGAGGGATTAGCATTATTCACCTAATAATGATAACCCATTAATACCTTCCTCGTTGGGGCTCTGCTCAATAACAAAACGCTAACAAGCCCACTGGTATCTTCTTTCATCCTCCCCAGCCTGGGCTTTGATTTTCTTACACACCCCTTATCTAATAATTTGGAAGATTTTCTTCTTTGGCATTTCATTTCTTGGAAATGGACTACTTTTCTGTCTACTTAATGGTTGTTACTTGACTATCTGCATTAAGATTTTACTTGAAACGGTCATTCTGTTTCACAGGTTATACTGGTTAGTACATTTTCCATTAATGATAAATTTTATATCTTTTACATAATGGAGCTTCTATCTTCTGATCAATTAACATGTGCAAATGACCTTTTTTCAGGAGCATATCATAAGGACTGACTGTGGTTCTGTGTCAGTTATAGTTTATGGAGACCAAGAGAAGCCAGCACTGATCACTTATCCTGATCTAGCTCTAAATCGTAAGTGTTAAGTTTGTATCCTCTAGTTTCATATTTCCCTTTTTTTAGGTTTTTCTATTCATGTACTTGTTGTCGCCTATATTCTTATGTTATAAACAACAACAACTATGTTTCAGTCCCGATATTCTTTTGTTATATGTTACCTTATATTGTCAAGACTATATTTTCTTATTCGTTCTTGCAGATATGTCATGTTTCCAAGGACTGTTCTTCTGTCCGGAAGCAGCTTCTCTGCTGCTCCACAATTTTTGCATTTACCACATTAGTCCTCCTGGGCATGAGGTCTGTGAACTGGCAAGCTTGTTTTGTTTCATCAAGTCATTAGGTTTTCTTCTATTTGTTGTCAAACTCGCTTTGAGCCGACTCATCTGAATCCCATTACTTACATAGTTCTCTTCTCGGAATTCCACAAGAGTTCTTGCAGTTGGGAGCTGCAGCAATTTGTTCAGAGAATCCTGTACCATCTGTGGATGCTTTAACGGATCAGATAGTTGAGGTTCTTAACTACTTTGGGTAATCACTTAAGTTGTGTTTTACAACCCCCCCCCCCTACCCCCCCCCCCCCACCCACACACACTAAAAAAAAAAAAAACAAATATTTTCCTTATGCTTGTCTGCCAAATCTTTAACCCTTCTTTCTTCTTCTGATCCTTTTGACTTATTAGATATCTTTGTTAAGTTGTTTGGAGCTCCTTCTTGGAAACTTCTTACTAATGATGAGATTCTTGCTGTTTCTAGGCTTGGAGCTGTGATGTGTATGGGAGTAATTGCTGGTGCTTACATACTCAGCTTATTTGCTGTAGGTCTCTTCTCCAATAATGTCATGCTGTTACTTTTAGTAGTGGTATGGCTTAAACTTTACTAACAACGCTCACATGTCACAGATAAAGCATAGGGAGCGTGTTCTTGGTTTGATTCTTGTTTCCCCTCTATGCAGAGCACCTTCTTGGACTGAATGGTTTTACAATAAGGTACTCTTTCATATCTTCCGTTTACCTTTATGCTGTGAGAAGAAAATCCACTGTATGAAACTGGAGATTATTGTTAATATAGGTCATGTCAAATTTACTATACTTCTACGGGATGTGTGGTGTTCTGAAAGAGTTTTTGCTGCACCGCTACTTCAGCAAGGTACCCTACATGCATTCCCTTTGTGTGTGTTCACTCATAGACTTTGGCATGTTTTTCTTTCTACCGATTGGATTGAATAAGGAGGCCATTTCAATTCTGTCAGGAAGTTCGTGGATCTCCAGATGTTCCGGAATCAGATATAGTTCAAGCATGCAGAAGAGTAAGTGCCTCCACTGTGGTAGTCCATGATGAATTGTTCAATTTAGTACTTCCACTGGATATTGTTTAAGGATCTTCTCTTCTGTATGTTTCTTCTTTCTGGTCCTTTAACTTTTCAGTTGCTAGATGAGAGGCAGAGCATGAATATATGGCGTTTTCTTCAAGCCATTGATGGGTAACAAACTAAACATCACTGCTTAAATATTTGTACTGATTTCTTTATTTACATCCTTGTAAAATTACCTCTCTAAGCTTGACTGTATGAATGAGCAGGAGACCTGATATCACGGATGGATTGAAAACACTAAAATGTCGAACCCTCATATTTGTCGGGGATGATTCTCCTTTCCATTCAGAGGCTCTCCACATGACTGCTAAATTAGATCGAAGATTCAGTGCCCTAGTTGAGGTATATCACGCATTTTATGTTTAATGACACACCATTTCAGTATATTGTCATGTGCTTTGAATTCCTTGTGTAGCAAAAGAATTTAGTGATATTTGGCTAGTTAGGCTAGATACTGTCTGTGTATCAATTATATGCTCTAACTAAATGCTGATGTCCGAGTTGGCATTAGTTCTTGAGTTGTATGTATGGGCACTTTGAGTAAATGCAACACAAAATATAGGGAATAAGCCAATAAGGAAAGGGTGTGATTGCAGGTACAAGTGTGTGGATCAATGGTGACAGAAGAGCAGCCACATGCTATGTTAATACCAATGGAGTATTTCCTCATGGGGTATGGACTATACAGACCAAATCAGTTCAGTGGCAGTCCTAGAAGTCCTCTCACTCCATCTTGCATTGCTCCTGAGCTTCTCTCTCCAGAAAGCATGGGTTTAAAACTCAAACCTATCAAGACTCGGATTGCACAAAAATAATATTACTTGATTCTGTGTAAACTATGTAAAATGTATTTCATTTCTGGTTAGTTTTTTTTTTTTTTAGGGGGGGGTGGGGGGGTATAGTTAAGGTAGAAAGGTTAGATATATGGGTTGTAGATAGGAAAGTGAAATTCTTTAATGGACATAGGGGAGGGAGATATTCATTGTAGGCAGGAATGAAAAGGTCATAAAACATATTGCAATTCTGAGTTGTATTTGTAAAAAGAGATACTTGTCCATGATCATGATGAATGACTAATAAGACAGCAAATTAATATTTTTTTTGATGATGGATGAATACCCTCTTACCCCTCCCCACGCCTATACATTAATAGAAATAAAGGGCACAAACAACTGGTACTTGATAGGTGAAACCACAAGTTATTAGGCTTTATAGAGGTGATAGTGGACTGCCACTGGAATTGCGTTGGCAATCGGTCGTCTTGCGAGAGATGACAAAACAACGTTTAGAATTCCTTATCCTGTTACGTCTCCCATCACTATCCCCTCAGTTCATTGAATTCTCCAACCCCCCTCCAACCCGAATCCGGAATCAAAGTGTTGTTTTTATGGATTCAAAGCGCAAAAATAGGTTGAAAAAATAATTGAGTACCATTTTATATATAACGCATTTTTTCACCGCGCTATACCTTAACGGCATGTTTGTCCGTTAAGGTATAGCGCATGGGTTACATGCGCTAAATTTGAACTTTAGCGCACATGCAGGTTGCGCTATACTAGAAGTTGAAAAGACAGGTAGGATGCGCTATACCTATATAAAATATAGGGTCCGTCTCCTTCCCCAACCAGACAGAAGCAACAACACAAAAGACGGTCCCCCTCCCCCATTTTTTAACCAAAAAACTCCATTGGAGCCCACCCCGTCCCCCAAAACTTGTGTCTTCTCCGTATTTTAGCAAGCTAACACCGGATCCAAGGCGTTGTCGTGTAGTGGATCTCATCTATTTCTCGTTTCGGCTCCCAAATCATCTATTTTTTACATTTCAAAAAATTTTGAATCGAGGTATTCCGACTTACTTTTTGGTAAAACACATGTATATAAAATGCTTATTAGTTATTTTTTTACTGTGGTCTATGTTTTTTTGTGATCGTATTTTAATTTAATTAATTTTTTGTTTTTTGTCCCGATTAGTTTATTTATGTGCTAAAAAATTAGTAATATATATATATATATATATATATATATATATATATATATATATATTATTTTATGAATAATTATTGTTATATGTGATTTTATTGTTGTACGTATATTAATATGTGACTTTATTGTTGTTTAGTGCCCTTTAGTGTTATGGTGTGCCCTTAATTGTTATGTAGTGCCCTTTGGCGTAGTAAAACTGATAATGAATTTTAGCTTATGGTAGTTGACTTTGTTTATGGCCATTTAGAGTTGTGTTACTATAGTGCTCTTTGAGATTCCATTGTGTAGAATTATGGATTTAATATATCAGTAGATAATTATCAAATATTAGATATGAATCATAAAATAATCAGTAGACGTTACAAAAGAGACGTTGCCAGGAAATTGGGCAATATGACAGTTAACAAATAAATCGTTACGAATGAAATAAATTCAATATTATTTACTATTAAGTTTGTATTTTTTATATGATTAATTATTGGATATATCTTGATCACTTATGAAATTTTAATATATAATTCTGTTATAATTCAAAAATAACTTTAAAAAGATAATAGTTCAAACAAAATCATGTAGAATTTCAGTAGAAAAATGTAGGAAACTAACATATAAAATATTAATGTAGGAATTTTATCAACTTAAGTATTTGTTATATGAATAATTACTAAAATATATTTTTAGTTATTGAAATTAATTATTTAATTCTCTGTTAACCCCAAAAATATATTAAAAAAGATGATTGTTCAAACACAAGCCCTCTCGAATTTTAGTAAAAAATATAAGAAAATAACATATAAAACAACAATATAGAATATTTGTCAAACTAAGTATTTTTATATGAATACTTATTAATTATATCATGTATAGTATGAAAATTAATTATTTAATTCTATTATACCCAAAAATAGTTGAGTAAGAAACTAACATATAAAATAATATAAGAAACTAACATATAAAATAATAATATAGAAAATGTATCAACCTAAGCAATAATATAGAAAAATTATCGATTAAATATTAATATAAAAGATATTGCAATATATTTAAAGATGTTAAACAATTAAACAGAAAAATACTTTAATTAATATTGTTCAATTTGTAGACATCGTATGGAGGTTCCCCTTGTGCATCCTGGACTTGCATCTTTAGAGTTACTGTTGCTACAAGGCAACCATAGGTCTTCATACATCTGGGATGGGCAGTGTCTGTCCCAGACATTCCGCCCCAGACGTATAGACGATATGTGGGAGTTCATTAGGGACCACCCACTCCATCCCCGTATAGTTAGACTCCTTCATGATACGGGTTTCTACATGATCATAGAGATCGGCCGGTTGCAGTTCGACTGGGCGTTGATCATGGCTATGATAGAGTGGTGGCGACCGAAGACGTACACGTTTCATCTACCCATCAGCGAGGCCACAATCACGCTTGGGGACGTGGAGGGCGCGCGCGCACACACACACACATATTATATATATATTATATTTACACTATAATTAAATTATACTAACTAAAAATACTATAGCTTACATCTAAATTAGAAGAAACCAAATATATATAAATTTTCTTCTATTTAAACATAGAAAAAAAATCTTATATTCTAAAATATGAATATTTTTATAGTTTTTAATTTTTTCAAATAAAACCTATTAACAGTAAGATAAAAAATTTAAAAAAAATCAAGATTAGACCTAAAAGAAATATTAACATTTAAAATAGAATAGAATTTGGGTATGGTCAAAAATTAGGTGTTCACAGTGGTCCCTAATGAACTCCCACATATCGTCTATACGTATGGGGCGAAAGGTTTAGGACAGACGCTGCCCATCCCAGATGTGTGAAGACCTATGGTTTCCTTGTATCAACAACAACTCTCGAGATGTAGGTCCGGGATGTACAGGGGGAACCTCCATGACGATGTCTGTAAATTGAACAATATTAATTAAAGTATTTTTCTGTTTAATTGTTTAACATCTTTAAATATATTGCAATATCTTTTATATTAATATTTAATCGATAATTTTTCTATATTATTGCTTAGGTTGATACATTTTTCTATATTATTATTTTTATATGTTAGTTTCTTATATTATTTTATATATGTTAGTTTCTTACTCAACTATTTTTGGTATATAATAGAATTAAATAATTAATTTTCATACTATACATGATATAATTAATAAGTATTCATATAAAAATACTTAGTTTGACAAAATATTCCTATATTGTTGTTTTATATTTATTTTCTTATATTTTTTACTAAAATTCGAGAGGGCTTGTGTTTGAACAATCATCTTTTTTAATATATTTTTGGGGTTAACAGAGAATAAATAATTAATTTCAATAACTAAAAATATATTTTAGTAATTATTCATATAACAAATACTTTAAGTTGATAAAATTCCTACATTAATATTTTATATGTTAGTTTCCTACATTTTTCTACTGAAATTCTACATGATTTTGTTTGAACTATTATCTTTTTAAAAGTTATTTTTGAATTATACAGAATTATATATTAATAAATTTCATAAGTGATCAAGATATATCCAATAATTAATCATATAAAAATACAAACTTAATAGTAAAATAATATTGAATTTATTTATTCGTAACGATTTATTTGTTAACTGTCATATTGCCCAATTTCCTGGCACGTCTCTTTTGTAACGTCTACTGATTATTTATGATTCATATCTAATATTTGATAATTATCTACTGATATATTAAAATCCATAATTCTACACAATGGAATCTCAAAGAGCACTATAGTAACACAACTCTAAATGGCCATAAACAAAGTCAACTACCATAAGCTAAAATTCATTATCAGTTTTACTACGCCAAAGGGCACTACATAACAATTAAAGGGACACCATAACACTAAAGGGCACTAAACAACAAAAAAGTCACATATTTAATATTACGTACAACAATAAAATCACATATAACAATAATTATTCATAAAATAATATATATATAATATATATATATATATATATATATATATATATATATATATATTATATTACTAATTTTTTTAGCACATAAAATAAACTAATCGGGACAAAAACAAAAAATTAATTAAATTAAAATCGATCACAAAAAAACATAGACCACAGTAAAAAATAACTAATAAGCATTTATAATACATGTGTTTTACCAAAAGTAAGTCGGAATACCTCGATTCAAAATTTTTTGAAATGTAAAAAATAGATGATTTGGGAGCCGAAACGAGAAATAGATGAGATCCACTACCACGACAACGCCTTGGATCCGGTGTTAGCTTGCTAAAATACGGAGAAGACAACAAGTTTTTGGGGGACGGGGTGGGCTCCAATGGAGTTTTTTGGTTAAAAAATGGGGAGGGGGACCGTCTTTTGTGTTGTTGCTTCTGTCTGGTTGGGGAAGGAGACGGACCTATATTTATATAGTATAGCGCATCCTACCTGTCTTTTCAACTTCTAGTATAGCGCAACCTGCATGTGCGCTAAAGTTCAAATTTAGCGCATGTAACCCATGCGCTATACTTAACGGACAAACATTGCCGTTAAGGTATAGCCGGGTGAAAAAATGCGTTATATATAAAATGGTACTCAATTATTTTTTTCAACCTATTTTTGCGCTTTGAATCCATAAAAACAACACTTTTGATTCCGGATTCGGGTTGGAGGGGGTTGGAGAATTCAATGAACTGAGGGGATAGTGATGGGAGACTAACAGGATAAGGAATTCTAAACGTTGTTTTTGTCATCTCTCGCAAGACGACCGATTGCCAACGCAATTCCAGTGGCAGTCACTATCACCTCTATAAAGCCTAATAACTTGTGGTTCACCTATCAAGTACCAGTTGTTTGTGCCCTTTATTTCTATAATGTATAGGCGTGGGGAGGGGTAAGAGGGTATTCATCCATCATCAAAAAAAATATTAATTTGCTGTCTTATTAGTCATTTCATCATGATCATGGACAAGTATCTCTTTTTTACAAATACAACTCAGAATTGCAATAGTTTTATGACCTTTTCATTCCTGCCTACAATGAATATCTCCCTCCCCTATGTCCATTAAAGAATTTCACTTTCCTATCTACAACCCATATATCTAACCTTTTCACCCTTAAATATCCCCCCCCCGCCCCCCCCCCAAAAAAAAAAAAAAAAAACTAACCAGAAATGAAATACATTTTACATAGTTTACACAGAATCAAGTAATAATTATTTTTGTGCAATCCGAGTCTTGTATAGGTTTGAGTTTTAAACCCATGCTTTCTGGAGAGAGAAGCTCAGGAGCAATGCAAGATGGAGTGAGAGGACTTCTTAGGACTGCCACTGAACTAATGGTCTTGTATAGTCCATACCCCATGAGGAAATACTCCATTGGTATTAACATAGCATGTGGCTGCTCTTCTGTCACCATTGATCCACACACTTGTACCTCAATCACACCCTTTCCTTAATTGGCTTATTCCTATATTTTGTGTTGCATTTACTCAAAGTGCCCATACATACAACTCAAGAACTAATGCCAACTCGGACATCAGCATTTAGTTAGAGCATATAATTGATACACAGACAGTATCTAGCCTAACTAGCCAAATATCACTAAAATTCTTTTGCTACACAAGGAATTCAAAGCACATGACAATATACTGAAATGGTGTGTCATTAAACATAAAATGCGTGATATACCTCAACTAGGGCACTGAATCTTCGATCTATTTAGCAGTCATGTGGAGAGCCTCTGAATGGAAAGGAGAATCATCCCCGACAAATATGAGGGTCGACATTTTAGTGTTTTCAATCCATCCGTGATATCAGGTCTCCTGCTTCATTCATACAGTCAAGCTTAGAGAGGTAATTTTACAAGGATGTAAAAAAGAAATCAGTACAAATATTAAGCAGTGATGTTTAGTTTGTTACCCATTCAATGGCTTGAAGAAAACGCCATATATTCATGCTCTGCCTCTCATCTAGCAACTGAAAAGTTAAAGGACAGAAAGAAGAAATCATACAGAAGAGAAGATCCTTAAACAATATCCAGTGGAAGTACTAAATTGAACAATTCATCATGGACTACCCAGTGAGGCACTTACTTCTCTGCATGCTTAACTATATCTGATTCCGGAACATCTGGAGATCCACGAACTTCCTGACAGAATTGAAATGCTCCTTATTCAATCCAATCGGGAGAAAGAAAAACATGCCAAAGTCTATGAGTGAACCACACACAAAGGGAATGCATGTAGGTACCTTGCTGAAGTGAGCGGTGCAGCAAAACTCTTTCAGAAACACCACACATCCCGTAGAGTATAGTAAATTTGACATGACCTATATTAACAATAATCTCCAGTTTCATACAGTGGATTTTCTTCTCACAGCATAAAGGTAAACGGAAGATATGAAAGAGTACTTATTGTAAAACCATTCAGTCCAAGAAGGTGCTCTGCATAGAGGGGAAACAAGAATCAAACAAGAACACGCTCCTATGCTTTATCTGTGACATGTTGAGCGTTGTTAGTAAAGTTTAAGCCATACCACTACTAAAAGTAACAGCATGACATTATTGGAGAAGAGACCTACAGCAAATAAGCTGGTATGTAAGCACCAGCAATTACTCGACATACACATCACAAGCTCCAAGCCTAGAAACAGCAAGAATCTCATCATTAGTAAGAAGTTTCCAAAGAAGGAGCTCCAAACAACTTAACAAAGATATCTAATAAGTCAAAAGGATCAGAAGAAGAAAGAAGGGTTAAAGATTTGGCAGACAAGCATAAGGAAAATATTTGTTTTTTTTTTTTTTTTGTGTGTGTGTGGGGGGGGGGGGGGGAGGGGGGGGGGGGTTGTAAAACACAAACTTAAGTGATTACCCAAAGTAGTTAAGAAACCTCAAACTATCTGAATCCGTTAAAGCATCCACAGATGGTACAGGATTCTCTGAACAAATTGCTGCAGCTCCCAACTGCAAGAACTCTTGTGGAATTCCGAGAAGAGAACTATGTAAGTAATGGGATTCAGATGAGTCGCTCAAAGCGAGTTTGACAACAAATAGAGAAAACCTAATGACTTGATGAAACAAAACAAGCTTGCCAGTTCACAACCTCATGCCCAGGAGGACTAATGTGGTAAATGCAAAAATTGTGGAGCAGCAGAGAAGCTGCTTTCCGGACAGAAGAACAGTCCTTGGAAACATGACATATCTGCAAGAACGAATAAGAAAATATAGTCTTGACAATATAAGGTAACATATAATAACAAAAGAATATCGGGACTGAAACATAGTTGTGTTGGTTTTAAACATAAGAATATAGGCGACAACAAGTACATGAATAGAAAAAACCTAAAAAAGGGAAATATGAAACTAGAGGATACAAACTTAACACTTACGATTTAGAGCTAGATCAGGATAAGTGATCAGTGCTGGCTTCTCTTGGTTCCATAATAAACTATAACTGACACAGAACCACAGTCAGTCCTTATGATATGCTCCTGAAAAAAGGTCATATTGCACTCATGTTAATTGATCAGAAGATAGAAGCTCCATTATGTAAAAAGATATAAAATTTATCATTAATGGAAAATGTACTAACCAGTATAACCTGTGAACAGAATGACCGTTTCAAGTAAAATCTTAATGCAGATAGTCAAGTAACAACCATTAAGTAGACAGAAAAGTAGTCCATTTCCAAGAAATGAAATGCAAAGAAGAAAATCTTCCAAATCTATTAGATAAGGGGTGTGTAAGAAAATCAAAGCCCAGGCTGGGGAGGATGAAAGAAGATACCAGTGGGCTTGTTAGCGTTTTGTTATTGAGCAGAGCCCCAAACGAGGAAGGTATTAATGGTTATCATTATTAGGTGAATAATGCTAATCCTCTTTCTGTGTCACTCCAAAAGTGGAAGAAGTGCTTTCCCAACCTGTTGTTTCTAGAGACTGCTTTTGCTTCCTCTCTCTCGTGGAAATTAGTCCAGCGCTCAAATGCAACGCCTTACTCATAGAATACCAAAAATTAATGTCATTCACCTATTATACCTCCTAGAGAGGATGACGAATGTTTACCCTATACTACCATATTGGCTTAACAATCCGAATTGAGATGCCATTTCGCAAGTGTTGGATGAGTTAAACAAATTCAAGACAACAAATGAGAATAAAGTAACAATTCAAGATCCAATTTTTTCACTAAAGACCAGAGTATATGACAGAAAAATAGATAAATTCAGGACTAAATTTCTCTTAACCCCAAACACTGCCCCTCCCAGAAAAAAAAAAAAGGGGGGGGGGGTTAGAGAGAGAATTAAAACTACTGCGTTTTTGGGTCTTTGAAGGAAATGAATGACAGAGCTTAACAAGAAAAATCAAGGTTAAGCATTCTGACCACAATGAAATGAAAATTGCGGGCGGAGAAGTAGTAATTTCAAGCGTCTCTCGTTAAATATATTGAAAATCTTCAACAAATAAGGCAAATTTTTATCTAAATGAAGAAAACGGAAAAATTGGACCTTTCCGACCAAGATAAATGGTCTTCAACATCGACGGAAACGGAATCGCTGCTTGAATCTGACATTATGGCCTGCTTTTTGATTATCAATACAGCTAACCAAAAAAGCCAAGAAGCCTCTCTCTCTCTCTAAATGTTTCTCTTCTATACATACAACATGAAGAAGAAGAAGAAAAGAAGAAAAAGAAGAGAGGCCCTTGAGCTTTCAATGGCTTTCTATACCAAGCGATCTCTCTCTCTCTCTTTTTCTTTTCCCAATGTTTTCTAATTTCTAATTTCTAATTTCGGTCTTCCTTCTTCGCCTCCACATTTATCCTAACGGTTCTTTTTTTTTTATCTCTGATTTTTTTCTTTTATTCGGTTAACTTAACTAACCTCCACCGGACGACTCCCCTAAGCTTTAATTATTGGAATCAAACATAAAATATCATTTATATCTTTAAATATAATTTTAATTTTAATCTCAACACATGAAATTCTTGTGGGCAGTTGTCATGCTACTTTATTGAGCTGGAACGAACGACAACAAGGACGTGCTTTTGAAAGACAAAATTGGTCTATTTTTCTAACAGTGAGTCTCTATTTGTTGGAAAATATAAATCGAAAAACAATCGTGTGTGTATACGGTGCCATTATTCGAGATCAGAGAACTGCATAGAGGGTCAGCTTCGTAATAGATCAGGTCTGGAGCACGAAGACAACGGTACTTGGAGTTCGAGAGATCGAGTATCACATCCGAGTCGAGGTCCCGATGATCAAGATCAGATGTGATCGGCTTCGGGGCAACGCGAATACGGAAGGCGAAATATCCGTGACCGGGCCAGAGATCACGGCGGAAATCTCGGAACGGATCATATCAAGAGCGGTTATTTGTATTCAATCATGAATTTACTTCCATAATATAGAATTATACACAATATTAGATTCCTCTAGTATATAAAGAGGGTCTCCATCATTTGTAAATACCTTACATTCTATACAGATCAAGGCAATATAATATTTCTCTATTGTTCATCAACTTGTTATATCTTTAATTGTTCTTACTTTACCATTCTCGAGGAGTTCACTAGCTCGAGAAGATTGAGCAAGTATTGGTTTGTTTTATATTCTTTTGTCAATTTCATCCAATTATCTCTAAATTAAATCAATGGTATTAAGTGAATCTCACGTATCTTAAAACACATTACAAAGTTTAATTTGTTACTTCATTTGTATGGGTAAACAGTGTGCTACATGTCCTCAACTCATAGACCATTTAGAACCTTTCGCCTTTAGAATTTTGGATAGAAGTACCGGTTACGTAAAGAAGAAAGTGTCCATGTGTTCTAACTAATGATGATGGTCTTCCAATTTCCAATTATGGTCCTACATGCAAGCATTCAAGCGACGTCCAGGTGAGTCTTTCTTTGCTTTTTCGTTTGTTCATTTTCTTTTAATATTGATGTTGGATGATATTTGTATATGTTTCGATATTAGCTTACATCGTATTTTTTTTTTTTTTTTATTGTATTTTATACTACTAGATATGCCCAACTTAATTCGATATGTATTTTACACTCATTGAGTGTTAATCGATAATGCAGGTACTTTAAAGATGGAATGTATGGAACAAGATAGACATTTTTGAAGTGTATTTTTAAATGAGTTGGCTAATGATTATGACGTGCAGTTAAAGACACATGACAGGCAAAAGAATGTAATTTGATTGACAGATCCCAAATTACATGAAAAATAAAAATCGAATACAAAAAGAATTACGGTGGCATGCATGATGTTTATTACAAATGAAGTGATCAAATTGAAAGAAGAGTTTGCAGCCACCCACTACCTGAATAGAGTTTTAGGCTCAGGGACAATTGAATTATCAAACGAATGTAGGCAAAGAAGATCAGCACGCGAGGCTGCCATTTCACAGTGCCTCTTAGATGCGCGAGCTGAGATTGGCCATCGCCGATAGGCAGCTGCTATTGCACCAGCATCTGGTTCCAAGGCAATTCCATCTCCCTTTTTGGTTTGGCGTTTGGACTAGGTTGCTTCTGTCTAGTTTTTTTTTATACCTATAAATAGATATTAAACACGATTTTTTATATTACTTTTGACGAGGAAGAGCGAGGAGCCGTCATGGAGGCTAGAGTTTTTGAGATTTCATTTTTTTTCCCGCCCAAAACTTAGTTTTTATGTTTTCTTTGTTGATGAGTTTGTTGTTGACTACTATGTTTACGTGGAGTAACTTCACATTCTTAGGATTTGGTTCTTTCATGACTATGTTATTTA